CGCCTCTCCCCCCATCCCCTTCAAACCGCGGTGTTCAACGGTTGTCAAAGCCTGGGTCCGGTTGGGCAACACTTTAAAGATATCACAAGATATTAAAAACTGAGCAACCAATGTTTCTTTTATTTTAAATATCAATAAACATATTTATTTCCGTGGAATGCAGTAATTTACATAATCACAAGTAGTCCTATCTCTGCCATGGCCACTCATAGATGTGCGTGATGACAATGATTACTGACACAGGTATTCGTTTTACACGTTCAGTGCATTTTGAACACCGAACATGTATTACATACTTCCTTTAAACAAAAGATGTCCTAAGAGGCATTGTTTTTTTTTTTTTTTTTTTTTTTCATTTTATGTTTTGAAACTATTGCCAACTTTTCCAGCACTGTCTCTTTGGCGCATTAATTAATTACTAAATTTGTGTTATTGAAAGGTTATTTAAACGAATTTTTACTCGACCTGTCCATGTATTAAAAATCGATGTCTAGCCTAAATATTATAATTTACCTCTAAATGAATTGCCAATGATTTATAACAACACCTGCTTTCCTAGCTAGCACATGTAGGCCTACATCCACATATCACATACTGAGTACTGTACCGGGCATGGCTTCGTTTTCCTTGTATGAGTCACAAGAAGTTGGCGAGTTTTATTTTTATTTATTTATTTATTCATTCATCTTATTATTATTATTATTATTATTATTATTATTATTATTATTATTATTATTATTTTATTTATTTATTTTTTTTTTTTTTGACGTGACCTTGCATGGCATCAAATACAAATGATTATGACACTGTATTTCAAATACAAATGATTTTATTTCTGGCTTCTAGTTGTGAGATGTCACGGCTACCTCCATGACTGAGAAGTTTAGAGGAATCCACTGGCAATGTAAGAAATCCATGAAAGTAAAGTAGGCCCTACCTGTATCGATAATATCTATCTTCATAACACGCTTTTGCCCCACTCCACTTTCCTCAGCCACTTTGGAGAAGGGACTATAAATAGACTATATGTCAGGGACAGAATTCATGCAGGTCAGAGATCGCCAAGTCATGTTCAAGTAAAAAGTTTCCCATTTTTAGGGATTTAAAGCTTTACCCCGGCACTTGACAATAATTCCTTTGAAGTTGTCATTGTGTCTCAACTTTATAATAAATAAATAAAGAATAAGTAGGCCTATAATAATTAATGTTTCTTATTGCTGCTCATTACAAGGAGGGCACCTTAATATCTTGTTGCATTCTAAATTTTTCGAATATTTCATTCGTTCTCAATTTTTAAAATATTCTGTGTTATTTTACATGTAGGCCAAACACATGTAGCGGCCAGGTTGGTTTCTTTGCGGAGTGTTTGGAGCATTACTAATTCTTCACTCTCTTCTTCTTCTTCTTTTTTTTCATACAGGCCTTGGCAAAATTAATAAATAACAATGCAGTTCTGAAAAAATATACACAACTAAGCTCCGACGAAGCAGAAGCGCGGAAGTCCGCTGAAAGGCAGGTGCACGGTAAAAGCACAATCACGGTTGAGACACCGAGGCGTCTTTGGCTAACCTCGCGTCAGGTCCGATAATTTACGAGATTCAAAACGTGAATGGAGCCTCTCGTGCTTGTTTTTTGCGCAACCAGTTAGATTGCTAGCCGTGCCTGGTATGGGGTAGGCCCTACTGGGTTATAGAAGATAGGACACGGTACAGAATGTACGGCAAAAACTTGGGTGTAGACGACAGTAGTCTAACGTAAGTTTATGTACATAGTACTTGTGTGCATAGTATTAGTAGGCCTACTCAGTACTTGTGTTTTTTTTTTCTTTTTAGAGAAAATGAATCATCTAGGCAAAAATTCTCCTTGGATATGTCCTCCATGATGTTCTCACGACAGTTGAAAGGGTATTTTATCTCAAGAACACCAAGTCCGCAACATAACATGTGATAATGCCGTCTGGTGATGTACCAAAATGTGGTTTTTGTGGTGAAAGCAGTAAGCCTGACATTGTTAAAGTCATAATAACTCTTCATTTTGGCCAAAAATTGGATTTTCCTGGAGTAAACGGCAATTTTCCCGTACTTACCAATGATCAGCGACCCCATTCCTGCATTCAAAGTTAATCCAGGTTTTTTTTCCTAAACCTACGGTTTTTTGTTAAAATCTCTTAAGAAATTTTAACTGACGGAGCTCTCTCTGACCTCGCATAGTCACTGTTGACCTACTTAAAATCGCGGGAAAAGCAGACAACAACAACACTATATAAGATTCATGAGATATATTCGTCTTTTTGTTAAAAATACATTAATATCCACAGTGTGTGCCATTCTGGGCTTTTTGTTATCCGACGCACTGTTCAAAAACTCGCAACTTACATCTGCGTCTGCATTAATGGGTTTGGCGTCATATGTTATTTTGGTCTCGAATGAACGCGAGAATCCGCGTGACACCATTACGTCATTAACAACGAATGTCTTGATGACCGGGAAGAAAAGCATCAAAAGCCCTATTGACAAGCACAGATTTTAGTTTTACTACAATAACGGCTGTTTTATTGGTAAAATACAATAGAATATATTTCCATGCGTTGTTTACAATGTATTTCATGCGGAATTTTGAATCTCAAAGGAAGAGTTATTATTGCTTTAATGGGCCAGCAGAATGTTGGAAGCCCAAAATGGTCTGCCACATACACTTCCTGATGGGCACAGCTTTGGCTTGCATGGGTCTTCCTGAACAACATGCCTGTACTGATCATATGCATTCTCCTCATTCTCTCTCCTCCACTCAACAGCAGGTACTAGTAGTAGTACTCTAAGAGGCTGGTCAGATGGTTTGCATATTTTCTGTAGCAGTGTAGAGGACGGCATGGAAACGCTTGTTTGCATAACGTCGTCAGCATAACGTCGTCAGCAATAGATGCAGTTATTCTTCCAGAGGATTGCAACCTCAATACTTCTAATTTCCTCAGGGGTTATAACATGTTTAGCATAAATGTCATTACACACATCAATCATATCTTCCTTGCTAAGGGTCGTGTATTGTTCCTTGTAGAGAGTTCTCAGATTGTCTGGAACAGTGGTAACAGGGGAAAAATCTTCAGAATTTTCTTCTGTGAAGGCCTCATTGTACTGGCTCCAGGCACTAAGTCCGACTGCAGCAGTCCCATGTATAATGTAGGAATCTGTGCTGTTCCTCGTAAGTGGCTGGCCACGGCATTTCCCTGTGGACTCTTGTGCTCTCCCTCAGCTTTTTCTTAGCCTCTTCACTGTATAGATGCAATGGGGGCTGGTTCAACATCCTTAACATAGCATTCATTCCACTAACATGGCAAATCAGTGCAGGCAGAGGTTGTGTATCCTAGCCTCACTGTGGTTTCTACTTTATACAGCACCATTCCAATGTGTGAACACGTTTTCCCCAATCTGAAAAAAGAGAGCAGATGTTCATAACTTGTACAGGATTTGGAACATCATTTCAAACAGGCCTTAAAGATTAATATAATGACTTACCCAAGTGTAAGTTATATGGAAAAATTGCATTCTTTACACTAGTATATGACTTCTACAAGTTAAAACAGATCTTCTGAGACAGTAAGTATTTTACTGTGTTAGTGCAGATGAGCTAGATCACCTCTAATGCATTCTATATTTGCATATGATTATGAGTGCAGATAGTCAAGATCACCTCTAATGCACTCTATATTTGCATAAGTGAACAGTTAGTTGTTTGTAGGGTCAGAGGTCCAGCTAGATGAGATGACAGGTACCTGGACTTCATGTTGTCTACCGGACACTGTGTGAACAGTTAGTTGTTTGTAGGGTCAGAGGTCCAGCTAGATGAGATGACAGGTATGTTGAGATTTCATGCTGGTTTCGGTCTCCCTTGGGACTCCAAGATGTCTGTCCTCCTCAGTGGAGTCAAGACTGGAGTTGGGGTTGATGTTATTTGACACCAAGTTCAGCCTCACTCAATTGCGTTTCCACCCATAGGCTGAACCGAGCCACTCCCATCAACCACCTGGGTAATGAGGGTAATGTTTAGCTCTTTCCCAAGCCTGAAATTGCAAGTCTTCTGTCCGTAATACTTCACGGAGGGAGCAGATTTCAAGATTCGCGCAGGTGGTGTATAATTCTTGGGAAGGCACCAAACATTTTTCTCAATCCAGTTTTTGGATGCAAGCCCCCTGGATTGTAATTGGTAGGCCACCTGCTGCAACCATGCCAGAGGCATGGCATAACTACCCGGGGAACTAAGCCCCTTTTTATAGATGGTAGCCACCCTTGCCACCAGTGTTTTGAAATATAGGCTTTGATCTTCCCGAGGCAGAGCCTGGGCCAAATCCTGGATAAATTGGGCACCAGGTACATCTATTGGAGACTTGCCTCAGTTTTCGGCCTTACAAGCTCACGGTACCCTTACCCTTTCACTTTTCCTGGACATGTCTTCGGAGTATTCATGGACAATGTGGAAGATGGGCTTGAACTTCTACCTCACACCAAGCATATATTTCCAAGCAATACGTTGAACAATGACAACTGTAAATGTGTGAAATATAAGTATTACAGAAACATATCACTTATTTGATGAATACTTAAAATATCTATTTAATTAAATTTTAACATGTTAAAAAGAGTACTTACCCATTCTGTCTTTCAGAAAATCATTATCTTGTACTGTAGGCAGGAAATTTTTAATGGGTATGTCCCTTGCTGAAATGCAGTTTCTGTAGTTGTCATCCAGGTGCATGAAACTATAGATAATTAGAGTATTAAAAAACCAAATTGCATTGGTGTACCACTTATTTTTATTATAAAATTATACTTTATTTTACTTAAAGAAACATTAATAAAACTTACCTAATTAGGTTTTTAATTGCATTTAACACAATGCCCATATATGAAAATTTTCCCTTCCATCCTTGACGTGATGCCTTCTTTTCGTTTCCA